CCCTGGGGAGGGGCTTCGCTCTCGCGGTTCTGTGATTCTCCCCACCTTTCCTCCCTCATTTGTGTGCGTATTATCCTGGGGCTGTGTTCTCCCTGTGGATGAAGGAGGGGCTTCATTATAATCTGAGTGAAAGACGTGATCCTTCTGTGGCCAGAAATATGGCTCCTAGGAGAGTGATCATAGGGCCACTGTTTATTGAGCCGCAACCTGGAACATAGTAGGCCCATAACAGACATCACGTGTCTAAGATGTGCTGGGCACAGTATAAATGTTGACTCCATGAAGGGAGAGCTTGTTTTTTTCTCCTATTCATAGATTTGGGAATTAAAGGATCAGACCTTCTGAGGGTCATGCTGGGACAGAGTGAGGTGTCATGATTTGAACCCATATCCCACTCCAGGGACTCCTACTTAACTGCCCAGATATCCTGACCTTCACAGGGGTGACAGTTTCTCTCTCCCAACCCCTCTTGCCTCCCAGTCCCTCCTGACACAGGACAGTAAGTGCTGGGTCAGTACGAGCCACATGATCTAGCTGGAGAATAGCTTACTGCTAACACACAGCCCTCAGTGAGCGGCTGCTGCACCCGCAGGTCGGCGGCAGATACGGGGACCATATAAAGACCCATGACAGAAGGAGAGCCCTGCTGGGGATGAGCTTAGGGGGCAGCTGTGAAGAGAGGACCTTGGTCTTGGCGCAGGGCGCCCACTCTGTCCCAGTGTGTCCCGCCGCCCAGCGGAGATCAACTGTGAGGGGCCGGCTGCCCCGTCACGGTGCTCAGGCAGTAACATGTTGAGAGATCCCATCTTTCAAGCCAGCAGTCCAGGTTTGAATCCAAACCCCCCTACTGAAGGGCAGGCCCCCTCCTGGAGCCTCTGTCCCCCTTGTAAGGTGGGGTGTCCCCTCACTCACTCAGTCTGGGAAGGTTGAGGGTGAGCCATGATGCAAAGGGGAAGCACGTGGCACCGGCGCCAGATCCCGCCTGGAACTGCCCCCCAGCACCGAGCGCTGGGTCATCTCCTCCTGGGCCCCAGAATGTCAGCTGTGACAGTGAGGCAGGTTCCCTCTGCAGACCCTGCTGCCTGATGCCGCTGGGAAAAAGGGGTTCTCTCCCTCAGGATTTTGGGGGACAATGAAAGCTGCAAATGGCTGAGCACATACATCAGCATGAACTCTGAAGTCAGCTGAGGTGTGTTTGCAGCCAACATTTAGGAGCAGCAGCTGGCAGGGCCCTGAGATAAACGTCCAGCTCTCTCTCACTAAATAATTTATTTTGGGTGTTCCATTAGCAATGTTGTGGGGGGCAGGCCTCTGCTCAGTCTGGGTCCCCCCTTTCCTGTGTGAGTGGCCCTGAGAGAGTAGCTTTGGGGTCAGTCTGCCTGTGTTCCAATCCTGACTCCACACCTGGGATCCTGGGCCAGTGCTGACCGCTTGGAACCTCCCATCTGTAAAACTGGCACGCTGAGGGGGCCCCCGGGCTGGGTTGGTGAGAGGAACCCAGGAGAGAATGGGTGAAGAGCAGCTGGCCTGGGATATGGCGCAGCAGGGACACCCAGGTAGCAGAGTGTGAAGCAAGACAGCGTTCTGTTACCGTGCTCCTGTGTACGCCGTGCTGCCGGGCCTGGCTTGCAGGCGCCCATGGAGGCTGGGGCTCCCGCCTCCTCTCACCTAAGGACTCCCTGGAAGAACCTTCCAGCACTGCTTTTGCGTCCACTTCCTCCTGTAAGAAGTTCTGCAGAGACGGTGGTTCCTGGTCTGCCTGTCCCTGGGGAGGGGCTTCGCTCTCGCGGTTCTGTGATTCTCCCCACCTTTCCTCCCTCATTTGTGTGCGTATTATCCTGGGGCTGTGTTCTCCCTGTGGATGAAGGAGGGGCTTCATTATAATCTGAGTGAAAGACGTGATCCTTCTGTGGCCAGAAATATGGCTCCTAGGAGAGTGATCATAGGGCCACTGTTTATTGAGCCGCAACCTGGAACATAGTAGGCCCATAACAGACATCACGTGTCTAAGATGTGCTGGGCACAGTATAAATGTTGACTCCATGAAGGGAGAGCTTGTTTTTTTCTCCTATTCATAGATTTGGGAATTAAAGGATCAGACCTTCTGAGGGTCATGCTGGGACAGAGTGAGGTGTCATGATTTGAACCCATATCCCACTCCAGGGACTCCTACTTAACTGCCCAGATATCCTGACCTTCACAGGGGTGACAGTTTCTCTCTCCCAACCCCTCTTGCCTCCCAGTCCCTCCTGACACAGGACAGTAAGTGCTGGGTCAGTACGAGCCACATGATCTAGCTGGAGAATAGCTTACTGCTAACTTGTGTAAACTGTACAAGCCCTGGGAGTCAGGAAAATGGGTGTCATGGAAAGTGCCAGAGAAGGTGTGTCCTGGATTTTCTTGAAGGCTGGTTGAGGTGCGCCTGCTTGGCCACATCTGATATGTCCCTGAGGTCCAGGCTCATGAGGCTGAGAGGGGAAATGGACCCCAACCAGAGTCCCCGGTGGGTCAGGGAAGAAAAGGCTGTTTCCAGCTGCCCAGTGGAGCCCTGTGCCCCCAGTGAGCCCATTTCTACAGGGAAATTCTATAGAATTTCAACATGAGCATCAAAAAAACAGTCCATATGTCTCCGTAAAGCCTGCTTACGCCCCGCCCAGCATCTGTTGCGGATTACGATCGGTGAGTTCACCCCCGAGGCCCCTGAGTATTACTGGTTTGCGTGTTTTCTAAATGGACAGTTAGGATTAAGGCGAGTTCCAGGATTTTGTGCAATCCTTTCAGATAAGAGGTCTGGTTGGGGCTTTGAGCAAATTCTTTGTGCTGCCAGAGCATTCCTGAGAGTCTGGGGTCATGTGCAGCCCCAGCCTCCTGTGTGCGCTGCGTGGCTGCAGGGATTGCTGGCAGAGGTGCTCAGGCCCAGCTCAGATGGCATTTCATTCACTCACTCAGCCAATAGCTCCTGGGCTCCTGCTCCGGGCAGGTGCCTTGCTCAGTGAGGAGAACACACGGGTGAGGGAGAAAACCCCAGCCTGTTCCCGCCCTCAGAGAAGCAGCCACGTAGAGAAGAGCGGTTTGGCCAAGTGACCCGAGGACTGTCAGTAATGGCCAAGGAGAGAGGTGCCCAGTGCTGCGGGAGGAAGTACGGGGCCGGCACTGTCTCGGGGGTCAGCTGGGGCTTCCTGGAGGGACTGGTGTTTGAGTCATATTCTGGCAGTTGGGCAGGAGTTGGGGGGAGGGCCAGAGCCGCAGCCATCCAGGCAGAGGGGACTGCCGTCCACCAGGCGGGAGGTGTCCCAGGTGCCTGGGCCTGCTGTCCTCCAGGTGGGAGGTGGTGCTGGGGACCGGCGGGCAGGGGTGGAGCTGGGGCACCACCTCAGCTGTCTAGAGGGAATGGGGCCGGGGCCGGGTGACGGGCAGGCTCTGGGCTGCCTGAGAAAGTCCTGTGTGAAGCTCTTTTCCTGGCGCATGGGGCACACGTCCAGAGAACAGCGAGGGAGTGCCCGTCTCATGCTTGGCTCTGGGAAGTGGGCATTGAGGGCCCACCACAGTTTCTCTCCTGTTCAGACACCTTTCTGTCCAGGGCAGCCTGCAGGGCCCTTGGTCTGTCCTGGGCTGGCTTCCCACCGGGGCATAGCTGGAGACAAGGGTTTGGATGCGAGTAGTGTCCTTTGGAGACGGTTCTGGGAGCCCCCGTGAGGCTGTGGGGGAGTTGGGAGGGGTGAGGGGAGCCTTAAGGAGTGGGTGCCGGGGCTCAGCCTGCTGGGGACCCCTGGATCCCCATGAGGGTGTAGATGGCAATGAGCAGTCATCACCTGGGGGATTTCAGGCCCCCGCATTCATGGACAGAGCACCCCACACCAGAGAATCCCGGGGCTAAGAAACATGGGCAGCAGGGGGCAGTATGGGAACCGTCTGGAGGTGACCTTGGGGCAGGTAGAGGCCACGTGGGCAGGCACCACCTGGTGGCTACAGTTCCCCCCTTGCAAGGAGCAAGTTCCCTTAACCTCTCTGAGGTCCATCCTGTAGCAGAACCCGGCTCCAGGGTCGCAATCCCTCCTTCACCATAATGGGGATCTGTCGGCCTGGGGCAGCCTCATGCTGGACCCCGTGTCGGTGAGCGAGGCACCCCAAGCTTCTGGCGAGTGCAGTTGGCAGAGGCCATGTGCACGGAGGCAAACCTGGAACACTGGTCAGTGCGGGAAGACGACTGCCTCCGGGGTGGGAGGTTGGGTGGGTCCTGATGTGCTGGCTGGCGCCCTACGCAGCACTCAGCAGTGGCAGAAGCTAGGGCAGCCTTGGCGGGAGGAACCCAGGTCATTCGGCCTGTGCGGAGCCTCCCGCTCCACCACCGTGCGCTTCGGTTCCTGCACTCAAATCCAAGCCCTGGGAGTGAACAGAGCTCACTGGGCCAGCATCCTGTCCTCCTGGCTGTGTTGACACCAACGTCCCCCAGAGGCCACTGCCTGCAGGAGAGGAGAGTTCACACAGTGGGAGCCCACCTTCGCCCAAAGCCTCCTGGTCGCCAACCTTCCAGTCCTGCCCTGTCTGAGCCACTTGCTCCTGCCCTGGAGTCACTGTATACCCTAATCTCCTGGCCCATCTCCCTCCACACAAAGCGGATGACAAGGGTCCTGCCTGAAGCTCTGTCTCTCAGGGCCACCCCCTGAGCGAGTGGGGCTGAAGCACGGTGGGTGCTGTGCTCTCCATGCGCTCAAGTCCCCGGCAGCCAGTGGGTGGGGTCGGTGGGAATGAATACGTTAGGAAAGCGTGAGCTGTGTGTGGGAAAGAAGGCCGAGGGGCCCTGCCTGGAGCAGATGTGGAATGGGCTTAAAACACGACCGGTTTTCTCTTTCATTGACTGTGCAAACCCGCAGCTATTTTTTTATTGTTCAGTAATGCTTTAAAATTTTTGCAATAAACCCATTCACAGCAACAAACAGAAAAAATGAAAGTCCTGCTCAATAAAAATATTGAATTTTTATTTCTTTTTCTTGAGACAGTTGATGAAGAACATTTAACCTTGACACCCCAAAGGGCAGCTGTGATAGGGCTGAGTGATGAGAACCAGGAACAGGGGGCATCTACACAGGACTCCGGGAAGCCTGTTCTTATTCACGTAACATCTTCAAAATTATTTTGGTGCGCTATTCAAAGTCTTCTTACGCACACACTGTCAGCAGAACTTTGTAAGCCACTGAGTGGTGCCTGTTCAGATCAGCGTCATAGTCGTCTCAAGCAGGAAATCAGTTAATTTCAAAAACACTTCGATTTTTTTCACCTAGTTGATGGCATTTAAGTACAGCATCTGGATATTTATTACATGTGGACTGTCAGCAGTGCTGTAGATTCAGTTAAAAATAAAGGCCACCTTCAACACTGAGATTTTGTTTTGGACGTGATAAAAGTAAGACAAAGTTTGGAGGAGTGCGACACTACGGTTAAAAACACAGTATTTTGACTAAATGAAGAAACCCATTATTATTGGGAATTTTTGTGGTGCCCACAAGCTCCTAATTGCATTTAAACCAGACTGATATGCAGCCAATAGGGATGGAAGGTATAGTTGTCAAAATGTACAAATATTTTTATACACGTGCAGAATGACTGAACTACACAATTTCTTGCAAAGGTATGTAATTAAAGGAAAAAAACCTTCAGCACAGCAGCTTGCAGTTTCTCTGCTGCTTTTTTCTGGAGCTCAGAAATGTCTGGGCCTTTGAAGAATTCCTGTGAAGGCACTGAATGTTCTTGAAGACAAGTCTCTAGATTTTGGTTATATTTTATTTAAATTCATTTTGAGATTTTTAATCTACCTATTCGATAATCAGAATGCCAAAGCCCTTGAGCTTTTGAATCTTTAAGAGTCGTAATGATTGAAGACAAAGTTCACAGAGTTAGTACAACGATGCTCGCCCCTCAGGAAGCGAGGAGGAAAACGACGATTTTAACTCGAGGGACTCAGAGGGCAACGTCTGACTTCAGAATTGTGTACTTGTACTTTGGAAAGTTGTACTGGTGGGAAGAATGGTTTGGTGCATTTAGGTTTAGTAGGATAGATTTATATTCTGAAAATGAATGGAACAAAGTTGAGACGGCATGGAAAAGAATCGGGTGCGGGGACCACGTATGCAAATTTTGCCTCATAAATGTGTTCGTTGAAGAAAGGCCCGAATACAGCACCTGGGAGAATTTTTGGGCTGAAATATTTACACATGTAAGTAAAACAAAGACAAAAACCTGCAAACAAATGGATGTAAGAGTGTGACTATTGGCCACGTGGCAGAAGCGGCCCCGAGCTTATCTCGTACCTCACCGTCCATCAAGAGGGTATTTTCTGAGATAAAAGAATGCTATGGTCTACGGAGAAAGGGCTCTTGGAGCCCTCAAGAAATTCAAATTAAGTAACATAAATTTGATGATTTGCCAGCAATTTCATGAAAAAAGAGGTCATGCTGCGAAAAACACTAGTGACAAGAATCAGTGATCCGAGGTGCTGAGAGGAGCACGCAGTAGGGTGAATGTAAACTCACCATTTTGTTCCTCTTGAGTGTCACATTTTTAGAAAACTCTGTTTTCCAACAGTTTTTGAATGGAACTGTTGCATGGGTCCCTCACTGTGATGCAGCCCCCTGCAGGTAAGAGGCACAGGGCCAGCCTCACAGCCTCAGTTACTGTGGGCGCCCCGCCATGAGGGCGGGAATGGGTGGGCAGCGGCCCTCCTCCCCAGCTGCGCCCTCGGACTGGGAGTCCCCCCTCCTCCACCCTGACTCAGCCCCCAGAGCTCCCAGGGACCCTCTGCGGCCACCCGGGCGGGGTGGGGCCCTGAACTCAGAGCTCCCACCGTTTTTACTGAGTGATGACCTGGTTTGTGGGGAAGGATCCCAGGTCCCCTGCCTGGTGGGGCCGAGTGTGGTTCTGTCCCTGCTAGTGACGCCCCTCGGCCCCAGAGGTCGGGTCTGTGCGGGGGTACCTCTGTGGGCCCTTCCTTGGACCCCCGACTGTCCCCTCCAGGTGCAGATCCCGGGACCTCCACCTAGACACTCTGCCGGGTTGTGGTGGAGTCCCGAGAAGGCCCTGCGCGCCCAGGCAGTTCTCTGCTGCGCCTCTCCTCTTCTGGGCTGCAGTGTGACCCTGCCGCCTCTTTCCTCTTGCAAGGAGCAGGCTCAGACCCTCCCTGTGCACCCAGATGCAGGGCAGAAGGCGCGGCCGAGCCCTCAGGCTATTGGGGAGAGAGGGCTGGTGGCTCCACACCCACTGTGCGAAGGACTCTGAGCTTTGGGTGGCAGCGAGCCTGCTGGCCTCGGCACACAGGGTTTCGTGGTGGGGGGGGGCAGAGGCAGGGGTGGTCACAGGGAGGGGCTGGCCCGGGTGTGAGCGGCCTGCCTCGTGGTGAGGCGCCTGTGGAAGGCTTCACTCCCAGGAGGAGCCCTGGGCACAGGCCTGGCTGGCCGACCCCTGAGAGGGTGAACGAGGCGTGTGGTCAGCAGGCGTGGCTGAGGGGCCTGGACCAGCCTGGCTCCTTCCTGCCTTTCAGAGCCCCGAGCTCACCAGGGCTCCTGCTGCTGCAGCAGATGGTGGGGCCTGAGCCGGGGGCTCCCAGGAGCCCGGGGCCCCTCAGGAGGCCCAGAGCTGCCTGGTGGAGGGTGGGAGGTGGGGACGTGGCGTATGCAGTCCTGGCTGGCTGGCCTGCCCGTGGGAGGCCTGGTGGGCTGACTCATCGCGAGCTGAGAGCCCAGCAGAACGGGGCCCAGCTGTTCTGAGCCTCCGGGATATCCCATGTTGCAAACTGGAGCTGGGAGGGGGAGGATGGGCTCGCTTCCTGCCTGCTGACCTCCCTGGGAAAGGCTGTCTCCGTCCGTCCGTCCGCTCGCTGGTGCAGGGTGGGGGCCCCAGGCGCAGCCATCCCCCGGTCCAGGCTGTACTGCCAGGCCCTGAGGAGTTCCTGGGGACACGAGCCTTTTGGTGCTAAAGCCATGAGAGTCCCAAGCACTTGGGACACTTGGTCCCCTAGTTGTGGATGCACAGCAGAAAAACATTCACTGCTCCAGACAGGATGGCCCGGGGTGGGGAACCTGGGGCTCCTGGAAATTGGGGTAACAGGCCTGAGGTCCTGAAGTCACCAGGACCGGGAGCTGCACGCTCTGCATGGAGGAGGTGGCCGTGTGCACCCAGAGCTCCAGCCCAGCAGGGGCTGGGGCCAGGCCCGGCAACGAGCCAGCACTCCCTCAGCCCCGCACTGCAGGCACCCTGGGCAGTCTTCGGCTCTCACACCTGGCAGCCATTTTTGCATGACCAGAACTGCTGGGCTGTGTGGCATTTGGGCCAAATGAGGGCATTGAGGATCCCCAGTTCTTCAGGGCTCCGGGAACCCCAAACCCCGCACTGAGCGTGTGCCCAGAGGCAGATCCTCGCCCTCTGCACTGAAGCTCGGGCTCCTCTGGAGGCCCTCCCTCAGCTGCTGTCCCCTCCCGCTGCCCCCGACCCTCTGGCTAAGCTCTGGCCACTGCGGGCTCCCGCTGCCGCCCTCTCTCTGCCTCACTGCCCCGTGGGCCTCTCCTTCCGTGTGTCCTCAGTCTTCTTACAAGGACGTCGGTCCTTGGGTTTAGGGCCCACCCTATCCAGTACGATCTTACCTGGATTGTTAACTAATTACATCTGCAAAGACCCTATTTCCCAACGAGGTCACATTCTGAGGTTCTGGGTGGGCATGAATTTCCAGGGCGGGGGACCCTGTCCAACCAGTGACACCTATGCGGTGCCACGTTCAGCAGGCGGTCCAAGAAGCTGCGGCGCCCGGCTTCCTATTTAGCAATGCCTGGCTTGCGGGGAGTCTGTGCTGTGGGGCCGGGGCTGTATTGTAGCCCACGAGCCCGCCATTCTCCCGCACCCAGGGCACCTTCCGACCTGCCCACTTGCTGCCCCCTCCTCCTCCTCTGCCCCGCGGGCCTTCCGCCGGGATCCGGGAGCAACAGGCCTGGAAAGGGCCCCGTAGGATTCCCTGCAGGGCGAGTCTGAGCTGTGGGACTCTCGGGTTCTGGTGTTCTGAGCATCCCCTCCTTCCTGGCGGGCACTCCCGCTGGCGTTTTGAAGATGGCCTCTCACGGGCTTCTGGACGCCATTCCCGCGGGCGGCACGCCGGCCTCCGTGCTCCGCTTTGGAAACTAGTCTGTCTCCTTGGGCGGCCCTATGGCGCCTGCCTTTCTTCCTGGGGCTTCACCAAGGTGAGTCTGGGTGTGGGCCGCTTTGTGCTAACCCTACTTGGGCTTCGCTGGTTTTCCGGAGGGACTGAGAAGCCCCTGTGTGATTCCATCAGTCCGGTACGATTCCCAGGCACCATCCCTTCGAATACTGCCCAGCCTCCCGTCTCTCCCCATCAGTGTGGCCGGACCGTGGCTCTGCCCCTCCCGTTCCCCATCTGCTCGCCTTCCTGTGCCACCTGCTCTATAACATCTCTGACCAGTTCTCTGGTTTGCCAGTGCGCCTGCAGTTGAATTGAATATACGATGAACATAAACATTTAATAAACGATCTTGATCATTACATCCTTTATTTCCAGCTTTCTCCTTGTTTTTATCATATCAACTCATTTTTAATGGTTTCCTGTTCACTGTGAGCTTTTCAATCTGAATTTTATTTCTTTAAACTTAACGGAAACATAGCTGTTTATGCGGAGTGTCTGAGTTTCCAGGGTCCGGGGTCTGGGGGTCTTTCTCTGCTGCCTGTTCTCTCTGCTGCTGCCCACTCACTGGGTTCTGCTCCCTTTTGCGTTTGTCCCGGGACCTGCCTGTTGCCCCATAAAGTCTGGTGGAGGCCCTTTGAGGTCTAGGGGGAGGTGGATTTCAGCGGGGAGGTTCGGCCCTGCTGGGCCCTGGCCTCCGCAGACCCAGGCTCATGGTGATCTGAATCCACCGAGAGACTCCTTTGCAGCATCAGCTGTGGGCCTGTGCGGCAGAGCTCTTGGGTCCGCATTTCCGGGGAGAGCCAGTGCTGTCACTGGGGGGATCCCATGAGGAGTGCATCCCTCGGACCCCGCTGAGCAGGCCAGGGCCGCAGTGCCCGTGCCTTGCAGTCAGCTGCTGAACCCCGAGGCCCCCTCGGTCCTGCCGCCGGCTCTCAGTCACAGCGCCTTGTGGCCCTGCCCTCATCTGCAGGCCTGCCTGGTGGCTTGCGGGCTCCTTACCCTTCATGACCCTCTGATCCCTGCCTGAACTGTTGTTCCTCAGCGAGCTTGGTCTGATGAACCTCCCTGTCCTGTCCCCAGGGTGTTCGTGAAGGGCAGTCCTGGCCGCCTCCCACGTCCCCACCGTAAGCCAGTGTGATGGGCTGTGTGAGACCGCGCTCCCCCCTCAGTCCTTCCTCACTAGCACCACCTACCTGCGTCCAAGACCACTGTCCCCTGCCTGCTCTTGAGGTAACCTCCCCGTGGCTCCCCGGCACCAGTCTTGCTCCCCGGCTGTCAGAGGTCTTGGAAGGGGGCACCTGTCAGTGCTGCCCCTTCTCGGCTGTGCACCCCCTATGGCTGCCCACATGCAGGGTGAGGTGGAGCTTCTGCCCATGCCAGCAGGGCCTGCGTGCCAGCCTCTAGCTGTCCCTCCAACCCTGCCTTCTCCCTCACTCACCTGGCTCTGCTGCTTTGGGCATCTTGGCACCCCACCCAATGCTGAGACCACTGCCTCCTGGAGGCCTGGAAGGTTCTTGAAGACTGGCTGCACCTCTTCATTCAGGTCCTTCTCAACCACACCTCCTCAGAGAGGCCTTCCTGGTCAGTCTGTCCAGAAGCTCCGCTGTTCTCTGTCCACTCCTCTCCCTTCTTCCACTTTCTTCTTCATTTTAATTCCACTGTTCACCATCTGACATTCCATTTGTCCCTCCTTCTGTCTTTGCTGGTCTGTCTCCCCATCTAGAGCAGAGGCTCTTTGGCTTCTCAGCACTCAGCACACTGCCTGTACCCAGTAGGTGCTCAATAAGTACTTGAGGGCTGAATGAAAGCTCTTGGCCTCTCTGCGTGCTGCTCAGAGGAAGAGGGATGGGGGTGAGGACAGAGCTCAGTGGTGTCTGTTTCCAAACAGACTTTAGCAGGAGGATTTGGAGGCCAGGGGCAGGGGGAGTTTCTATATTCAGGGTTTGTGACTCAATCTGCATGCTCCCCCTTGTTAAAAACATTTTTATTCTTTTAAAGTTTGTACCTCTGACCACCTTCACCCATTTCACCTACCTTTTCCCTGACTCTGGCAGCCACCAGTCTGTTCTCTGCCTCCATGAGCTTGTTCCTTTTAGATTCCGTGTGTAGGTGAGATGGGGCAGTGTTTGTCTCTCTCCCTCTGACTTACGTCACTTAGCACAGTGCACTCAAGGCCCATCCCTGGTGTCACATGTTCCTGATAACCATTTATATGTCTTTGGAAAGACAGCTATTTAATTCCCCTGCCCACTTAAAAATCAGACTCTCTGTTTGTTTGCTGTGGATTGTAGGAGTGCCTTATATATTTTGGATATTAGCCCCTTACCGGATGTATTATTTGCGAATATTCCCTCTGATTCCGTAGGTTGTCTTTGCATTTGGTTGACGTTTCCTGTGCCGTACAGAAGCTTTTTAGTTTGATGTCATCCCATTTCTTTTTACTTTTGCTGCCTTTGATTTTGGTGTCAGATCCAAACAGCCATTGTTAAGACCAATGTCAAGAAGTTTACCATCTATGCTTTCTCCCAGGAGTTTTATAGTTTTAGGTCTTACATTCATGTCTTTCATCCATTTTGAGTTAATTTTGTGTATGGTGTAAGATAAGGGTCCATTCTTTTGCATGTAGCTGTCCAGTGATCTCAGCACCCTTTATTGAGAGACTGTCCTCTCCCCCTTGTATATTCTTGGCTCTTTTGTCATAAATTAATTGATGATTTATGAGCAGGTTTATTTCTGGGCTCTCTATTCTGTGCCATTGACCTATGCGAATGGTCTTCTATTGATGCCATACTGTTTTGATGACTGTAGCTTTGTCACATTATTTAAAATCAGGTACTGTGATGACTGCATCTTTGCTCTTCTTTCTCAGGATTGCTTTGGCTATTTGGGGTCTTTTCTACAAATTTTAGGATTGTTTGTTCTATTTCTGTGTAAAATGCCATGGGAATTTTGATAGGGATTGCACTGAATCTACAGATTGCTTTGCATCATATGGCAGCCATGTTTTAACTTTCTGAAAATCATGCTCTGACAGACCCTAAGAATGGTGAGCAAGCCTGCGGCTGTTTCAGCTCAGCGGGCCATGTGCTGGCATTCAGTCTCCTGTCAGACCAGGTTCCCTCCAGGGCTGCCTGTCCACTGTGGGTCCTTGGGCAGCTCGCCTCTGTGCCTAGCACGTCCATTACATGGGGCCCATTGTACCATTAGCCTAAGGTTCTGTCAGGACTAATCAGAGCCCAGTGAAGCTCTGCAGCACAATTATAGTAAGAATAATAATAGGAAGCTGCTGTTCTCTGCAAACCTCTGCTGACAACCGGGAAGCCTCACTTAGATCCAGGGGATCAAACAGACCTCTTGGACCCCCTTCTGCTGGATCCTTACAGATAGGTGGTCCCCAGAGTTGGGCTCCCAGGTGCCATGCTCCAGGCTGCAGGCCTATCTGCAACTGGCTCTTTTGATGCTGTCGTTCTTTTAAGCAGCTTCGTTGAGCTATAATTCACACCCCATGAGAGTCACCCACTTAGAGTGCACAGCGGCTGGCTTTAGTGAAGTCAGAGTCGTGGAAACATCACTACTGTCAGTTCTAGCACTTTCCCACCTCAGAAAGCAGCCCTGCAGTCTTTAGCAACCACCCCCTGCGCACTGGGCCCTGCCCCCGCCCCTGCTCTCATCTCTGTGGATTTGTCTTCTTTGGATGTTTCCTATGCATGGACTCATCTCATATATGGTCTTTGGTGCTGCTGGGAGCTCCACCAAGGAGACACCGTGGAGATCCCATGAGGGACGGGACCACAGACCCATGCTTGGGGACAGTCCAGTGTGACCTTTCATTCACCGGGCCAGTGTTTTCCTGAGCACCAACCTGGTGCCCTGTGCTGTGTTAGGGGCTGGGAGGCCCCAGTGAATGAGGTGTGCATGGTGCCTACCCACCCCCATGGCTGAGCCCAGTGTGGGGGCAGAAGCAGGCTGCCAGTATGGGTGGCTTGGGTGGGGACTGTGCTGGGGCAGCTGTCCTGGTGCTTCTGGTCACCCTGGGCTCACCCGGAGGTGGGCCTCTTTTAAGGTGCCTCCTGAGATGGGTCCTGGCATGGATGAGGCATCATCTGTTTTCACTTAGTGGCCTTCTGGGCCAGGGTGATGTCATCAGAGCCCTGGGCCTGGCAGGCGCTGGCAGCCAGCCACCATGACAGCTCAACTGGGAGCCCAGCTAATGAGGGGGAGCTGTGGCTGCTCAGGCCATGGTGGGGCTGCCGCCTCTACTCCCAGGCTGTGGTCTGGTCCAGGGATCCTGGCCTGACCCGGCAAGCAGAGGAGAGGATGGCCGAGCCGGTCGGAACGTGGGCTGGGACCGCTCCCCTGGAAGAGAGGGGGCTGAGGAGCTACTCCAGGGGAATCAGGTGCAGCCTGGGTGCCTTCCTGCCCCTGCTGCTCAGGAGTCTGGCCTGCCGGTGCCCCAGCTGCTCTGCTGGTGCAGGTCAGGCCTGCTGCCTATGACCCAAGACAGGGCGGAGCCACCCAGGCTTCACCTAGGCTTCCCGTGGGGCCATGCCATGTGCTGTGCAAGGGCGGGAGGCCCACAGGGACAGGGTCCCACGTAGGAAATCAAGGCCTTGGCTGGTGTGTTCTTGGCAGAGAGGCCTGAGCTCTCTGGTGCCGGCCGGCCTGGACTCTGGGGTCATGAGCTGACAGTCAGGGACCATCCAGCTCCATGCCAGGCTCAGGGTCAGCTCCCGAGAGCAGGTCATCAGGTTTAATTCTCCCTATGGCGCTGTCCCCATTCTACAGACGAGGAAACAGGCCTAGAAACGCCACACAGAACAGATTTGAAACTCTGATCGGCTTGGCCTCTGCCCACCTGCTATTACTGGCTCAGGGCGAGGAGCCCTGGACAAGAGGTCCTGAACCTGCCTGTCCACACTGCATGGCCGCGGGGGCTGACATCCCCTGAGCCCCCGTCTCTCATCCTTACAAGGGTGGGCGCTTGGAGGCACCTCCCAGGGGCTTGTTGGAGGTCCGATGAGGTGACAGGTGACTTGCCCACATTTAAAGAGTTCAGAGAGGACAGAGGGGAGCACTGAGCCCCCACCCATCATGGTGTCCCCGGATGAGCACCAGGTCTGGTGGCACTGGGATGTTGGCATGGCCCAGCTTTGGGGAAGGGGAAGTTGGGCTGAATGGAAGACACAGCCCATCTCTGCCCAGCTGGGCCTGCCCGGGACCTGCCCTGGGAAATAAACTGTCCCTCCCCACTGCTGGGCACTGTGCTTTTCCCTGGGCAACAGATTTACTCATATTCTTGCCAAACCTCAGTGTCCCTCCCTGGGGCCTGCTTCAGCCCCCACCGGGCTCTCCTGGCTGGCACGGGGGCAGGTGGCGGTCCCCCGGGCCGGGGGCTGGGCTGTCTCTCCTGCCCCTGGCCAGGTGGGGGCTGTACCTGTGCCCGGGCATGTGGCAGCCCTGCCGCACCCCCACGCCCACCTGGTGTCTCTGCCCTTTGTATCTATGTGCATTTCATCCCCCAGAACAACTGCCATTTGCATCTGTGCTCCCTCTTCCCCTTGGCTCTGTGCGGGCGTCACACTGTGGCCAGGGTGGGCACCCTCGCTCATCCTGCTCCTCAGCTAAGGTCCCACGAGCGAGCCCCCGGGTGCTTCTCCGCATCATTTTAATATCCCTGGGGGATTGCCTGGGGCAGACATGTCCCGGACTAACCTCCCGTGGCTGGACACCTAGGTATTTTGAATTTTTCATTTTTCTAAATAATACTAAGAACATACTTGTATATAGGGCCCCCCTCCCATCCATTTTTAAAAATCACTTATTCATTAGTGTGGGTTGAGAGGGTGCAGGTCTCTGTCCGCCCTTCAGTGTGCCTTCATGGACCTCAGGGTGTGTGACTCCAGGGGAGGAATTTTTCTCCGAGCCTGGGGCAAATTACCTTTGAAACTAGAATCAGTCAAAGGGAGAAATAAAGCGGGAGAAACCCATTTATTGCATACAAGCAGTTGTCCACTTCTGCTCACCCGCGTCTCTCACCACCTGGCTGCAAAGAAGGGACCCCACCCAACCTCTCCTCCCGATGGACCCTTGCTCCTGGTAATCGCCTGTTGGTGTGGAGATGGCTACTTCTCTTTGCCCCTTGTAAACACCTAGTGATATGGAGAGGCACTAAGGCCAGGGGAGAGGTTCTGGAAATACTGAAATTTTACACACAGTGTGTCATGGGGCTGGATCTGTCACAACCCCCAGTTCTGTTTGGCTTTTGACGCAGACTGACCAGTGCCGCTCGGATGCTGGGACCCACTGCACCCCAACCCTCTGAGCGTCCCTCCTGCACTGTGACTCTCCTGACTTGGGTGAAAGAGTCTTCTGAATGTTTGAACTATTAATAGAAAAATAATTCTGCCTTCTTTTCTCCAGAAGGGCTAAAGTGTCCCCTGATGTGTCTCGCCTTCTTGAGTCATGTAAGCATCCACCTGGGGTCCACGGTCAGCTTCCCTCCCTCTGCACCCCACCCTGACCATGCTGGAGGCCAAACTTGGCTTTGGTGCAGAGTTGGGTCTGCATGCTGTGCTTTGTTTCTGGTGAGAAACAACCTCTCAGATTGGGCAAGTGGGAGACCCCCACTTCAGGATGGCGCGTGCCCAAGCGGAGGTGCCAAGCACTGTGGGCTCGTGTGCTCGTGAAGCCCTTTCCCCTAGCCCTCCTGGGACCCAGCGACGGGCCACATGGTGACTGTGTCCCCCAGTCCTTGGGCTTGGAGGACCTCCGGGCTTGTTGGGGCACCCCAGGCTCTGAGGACTCAGGAAGGTGAGGAGGAGGGGCAGGGTGGCCTCTAGATCCAGAGGTCGGCAGGTGGAGGGCCCTCTGGGGCAGCCCCATCTCCTGTGCGGCCACCTGCAGCTGCTGCGCCTGCCACTCCGGGTGGGACTCGGGCTGCTGCTCGGGTCCAGTCTCCCCATCTCCCTGCCCCGCCACCCAGGGAGGCCCTCCCCTCCTGAGCATTGCAGACGGATGCTGCTACGTGTGGTTCTCATCCAGCCGGACCCCTTTTCCTAACGAATATGTTTAAGTGCCTTTATTTTCCAGGAATAACATTCATAGATGACATGGTTACTCTCACACATGATTCAAAGTACAGGGGGCTGTGTAGGGTCCCCCAAACCCCAAACATGTCCATCCAGACCTCAGAACAAGGCCTTATTTGGCAATAGGGTCTTTGCAGAGGTCCACAGCTAAGGGCAGTGAGGTGAGGTCACCCTGGGCTGGGGTGGGTCCTACATCCAATGTCTGGTGTCCTGCTAAGAAGAGGAGAGGCCACAGAGACACAGATGGGAGGGACAAGGCCGGGAGCCAGGGGTGCTGGGGGCCCCGGGAGCTGGAGGAGGCAGCAAAGACCCTCTTCTAGGGCCTGTGGAGGGAGCTCAGCCCTGCGGAGCCTTCCATCTTGGCTTCCGGCCTCGGGCACTGGGAGAGAACACACTTCGGTGACTTTCAGCCCCCAGTCCGCGGTGCTCTGTTAGTTGCCACAGGCACTCGCGCACCAGACGAATCAGACCAAGGAAAGGATGTTTTAAATGCCTTCCTTGTACATCAGCAGTAGTCCAGTCAAAGAGTGCCTTCCTGCCTGCTGCCTCCCCCAGGGCTGGAGCTGGTGCTATGAAGTCCATTTTACAGGGTGGCAAACGGGGGCTCAGAGATGCGGGGGACCTGCCCGGAGGCAGCAACCCAGGTCCGTCTGCCCCCAGGCAAAGCTCTCAGCCTGTTCTACCTGCAGGTCTCACCAGCCGCCGGGTGGGTGGCGAGGGTCCTTCCTGCTCTCTGTGCCTCTGCTTCTTCCCGGGGCCTCCCCCTGACTTGTCCTGGAGCCCCAACCCCACTTTCC